ATCCTCGTATCTTCTTCGAAGACGGAAACTTCTGTACGAGTATGCGTACGTGTGTGTCATTGGTGGATAGAGAGAGAAAGCATGCGAGAAAGAGAGAGAGAGAGACTACTGCGGTCAATGCCGGTCTCGCTCGTATATGTCATTAGATAGTGTATGTCGCACTACGTTGGTCTACATTCAGAGATTACCTAGGATGCGGTTGGTATATCTACATATGTAGATGTATTCACTCGAACAGTAAATACTAGTCGATGATTCAGTCCTCCCTAAGGGGACAACTTCGAGGACAGAATTCCTAACATTCTATCCTCCAGGATCACATGTCTCTTTTAATCCAAATCATTCTACAAATCATTCCATACGTAACGATCATATTTTTCTACTTTTCATTTGATCAATAATTTCCTATTATTTGTATATTATATTTAAATGTTTTATTATAAATAAATCGTTATAAACGACCAATATTTGAGGTTGTCCAATATGGCGATTACAAATTTATATGGAACGATACTCAATTTTGTTTTAACATTAATCATAATATGTAATTTATTTTAATAATGTTGGATGCAAGATCCTAATGTTAGTCATACAGTTGTGTGTGTGTGTTATGTATGTGTATGAAATAAGTTGATCAACAATTGAATGGGGATATGGAAGGATCTAGAGTTAGTTAGTCGCGTGTGTGTGTGTTTGTGTACGAGATGCGTCCGATCAATGTTGTTGTTGGGAGATGAATTTGTAAATAGAAATATGAGAGGTATGATATACGTATTAGAAGCAAGAATGAAATGGAAGATAGTCGTGAATTGATTGATCTAATTGTAAAAGTAAAGAATGAAGATTTGTATTATATTAATCAATAAAATTCTATTAATAAAAAGAGAAAGTTAATCGAATTACGTTAGTCTATATTTTCTAGGTAGAATTATAAATAATATTCTGTAAAAAAAAATTCATTATAATAAAATTATAATTTTTGTGTATTTAACCCTTATTGGTCTCGTCATGTTTTTATATTGATGATTTTCACTAACATAGGTTATATAAGTGGTTTCGGTAAATATTAAACAAAATTGTTCAATATTATATTATAAGAATAACTTATTATTTATTAGAAATAATTTATTTTTTTAAAGGAGTACTACAACTATATGAAATTATTAATTATTTAATTATTAATAAAATAATTTTATATTTTAAAGTCAATTCCCATGTGACTTACGACCGAGATAAGGGTTAATATATTATTATAGATATTGAATATAATATTCAAAAATTATTGTGTCTTATGAAGATTAGTTTTTTCTAGACGACCATTCGAACTTCCTAATCTCTCTCTCTCTATATATATATATATATATATTTCTCTCTTTAGATCAAAACTTCGTACTTTGCAATTGTAATTCTAGTGTCTAGTTTGATCAAAGTGAATACATAATTAGACTTTAAGGAGTAAAGTCTGATGTATATTTCGTCAGATGAGGATTTAGAAGAAAGAACAGCATATAGTATAGTTCGTGTAGTTCAGGATTAACGTTCGTTGGATAGAAAGAGAAATAACGAATAAGTGACGTGTTAGAGAGGAGAAAATTCTTTACCGTGGGAAAAGTTTTTGATGGGAATCCCGATGGGACGAGATTAAAGTACGTTCGCAAACTCGTCGTCACCTTACTTCGATACGTATTTGCGATTTTTCTTCGAGATAACTCTTGCCATTCCAGTTTCCTCTCTCATCCCCTTCAAGTCGCCCTCCCTCCTCCCCCTCCTCCTTTATTTCTATCTTCGTAATCCATCTATCGATCTATCGATCTTCTTTCTCTTTTCTTGTATTAGGAAACGATCGTATTTGGTGGATTATCTCGGGGAATTTTCTAGTTGAAGATTAAACCCTGTCGAAAATGTGCATGAAATGGATCCTTGCGAATGGTTAGAAAATTTTTCTTCGTTCCCTCGAGGAAGAAAACGAATAGACGACGACAACGACGACGACGAAGAAGAAGGTTTATATGAATCTGTCTTTGTGTCTATGAGAGAGAGAGAGAGAGAGAGAGAGAGAGATGCTACTAGCTGTGCAACGGGATTTAGAAAATGTGTTTTTCCGATCCTCGAGAATGGAAACTTATTTTCTTCCGCGGAGTTTCACTTCCTCAAGATTCAGTAAAAGAAGTTCGACAACTTTTGCCCTCTGCCGTCGCCCATTTCGCGTATGCTTGAAAGATAGTTGGATAAAATTGTTAGAGATCGATAGAAAGAGAAATAGAATCGTTTTCGTTGCTATTTATTTCCTTGTTTTTTCTTTTTTTCTTTTAAACGAACGATGTTTCGTTGTAAAACCAGACACGAGATTGATAAGACAAGAGGAATTTAATTTGTATATTTGGAGATGGTTTTAGTAACCTATTCGTTTAAACGGTATTCGATGTAAATCAATTAGGAGTATCATGGATTAATAAATCCGTTAAATTTGTAACTCGTGTCGCGCTTTACGATGCCAAGAGGATTACTCTTCCTCGAAGGATGGAATATTAATGAGTTGACTTGAGTTCCCATTGAATTTTGGATATAATGAAATTCAATCCATAGTTTAAATGATTTTACATAAATAAGATAGTTAATCATTTGATTGGTATTTCATTAATCATGCACTCTTCGTTACAATATTAATAAAAATAACTATTATTAATTGTATATCCTTCAATAAAGTTTTTAAACAAGTTTTAAAAAATAAAAAAGAGAAATATAATAATCGTATTATTAATTGTTTCGATATATTATATAATAGTTTAGAGTTGCAGTTAATTTTAGATTTGAAAAAATGATTTTCCAATATTTGTCAACACCAGCAATAACTCGAGATTTTTCTTTTATAATACATTAAAAAACACGTTTAATAATTTGCAGCTTTTGTTGAGTTCTATCGTCGATAAGAGCTTCAACACCCCATCGGTTTCGTGTTCACATGTGTTTTCCGAAGTACTTTTCGCCATTGACCCCAATATTCTTACTTCCTTTTTCTCTCATGTTCTTTTTGTTCTAGTAGCTTAAAGGTTAAGTATTATACCAATATAACGAGCCTGATAAATCGTTACGACAGATTCTTCGAGTTTTGCCATTTATCGATCTTCAGATATAAGTATACATGTATTTGTGTATGAGCAAAGTAGCAAAGTAAGTAACTAAGCACGTATATATAACGTTAAAATTAATGAGAGTAAAGAACATAAGCTCGAATCTTTCTCTCTTTTTCATTGTATTCTATTTTAAAATTATTGGAGCGTTATTTACGCGTCTTCTTGTATTTTTTCCTCTTGCGGCATATTTTTTTCTTCTTTCTTTTTTTTTTTTTTCGATATATTTCATAAGAGATATCTACGAGAGTAAATGAAAATTACGTTGGCACAAGAAGTATAATATCAAAAAAAAATTTAACTCTTTCATTACTAGCGACCTATATACGAGTCAACCATGCAAAGATCCCGTATGAATCATCCAACGACCCATTTAAGGGTCTATCAATTTTAATATGAAAAAAATACTCGTGTCGATGCATACGTTAACGAAAGAAAATTTATCGTAGTATATTTTGCAAAGCATATAAAAGTATTGTTTGTGATATATTTTGCTTTTTTTTGCAGTGAAACTTTTTAGGGGATGGTAACGACAAAATTTTATGAAACAATATGAAAGAAGGAGAGTTGAACGAAATTATGGAAGATTTCTGTGTTTCTTGTGACGGAAAAAAGAATGACTTATGGATTTATGGGTTGAAAATAAAATAACCGGCCATTTCGTACATTGCCTTAAACATAAGCTGAGTATTGTACGAAATAATTATAATAAATATTGTTTTTGCAATATATTTCACTTTTTTCAAAGTGAAACTTTTTAGGGGATGGTAATAACATTCTGGAAGATTTTTGTGTTAGTTATTACGTGTGTGTGTGTTTGTTTATACCAGAATAAGTTTACTACCCATTAAAATAGGAATAATTATACATTTGTTTAACAATTATATGTACTTACAAGTTATATGTATTTACAAATTTATGTAATATATTTCGAATATTAAACAATTTCTATCTGATATTTTATTAGATGAAAATATTGAAATTAAAAAACGTTACTTGCCAAGAACGTTAATATAAATGTATTTTTATTTAAAAAGTAGAAAATATTATAGAAGTACCGTATCGTGTTCGATGTACCTTAATTGATTGTTAATTAATCGAAAGAAATGTACATTCTCTTTGAAATCCAACGAAAGACTGACACTTTGTTTTTTATGAAAGTTAATTAACATTTTTCTTATTTATTCTTGTTTAAATGACTTCTCTAAAGCTATATATATATGTACACATATACATGAATAATGAAAAAAAATAATATTCATAGTAAATAGAATGTGTTCTTTTAAAAGTCATATAAACAACAATCGATAAAAGAACTTTCATAGAGGACAACGTGCCAGTGTAAGGGTGCATTTCGAGAAAGAAGGTACGTCGAACTATATTCTGTGTTTTTAAACTAAAATTTACATTTCTTTGGATTAATGAACAATTATTTAAGGTATGTCCATAATTCTAATATATTCTATTATTATTTGAGAAGAAATGTGCCCATAATTATATATATAATTCATATAATATATAATATAAATATAATATATATATATATAAAATAATATTATATATATTATATATTATGTATTATATTATTTAATATTATACTAATTATTAATATATAATATATAAAATAAAATATAAAATATAAAATAAAATTTTGACTTATCTTAGACCACTTTCATAATTATGGGTACAAATGGAATAATATTTTTTATGCAACTTCTCTTATAACATTCATATGTTCTTTTGAAATATGTAGGAGGATTATTGCTAAGCCAATCACATTCTAGAGGTGGATTTTAACTCTAATCATAAATCATCTATTTCAAAATTTCTTTTTGTAATTTTTCAATTTAAAAATAACAAATAACATACCTATGTCCATCATGTGTAACTCGCCGAAATGACGTGCAGCATAAAGATGAAGAAAGCCGAAGGCTAGTTGCATTCCTGTAGTGAGCAACAGGGCGAGAAAGCCAGCTGCACATACTAACCACCCCCAGCCACCTTCCGGATAGAAATGTGCTCGCATACCGGCAACGTCTATGCCTGACAGTAAAGATTATCTTATTTACAACAGCTCATTCTATTTCATTTCACTTATTTCGTAATATATTTTCTGTCGATTCAAGAATTTGTTATACGAAATTTTTATTTACGAATGTTTTATATTTATATATTTTCTTTATTTTTTCCTCTTTTTGTGTATGATTTTAGTAATTTGAAAATGTTTTCTTAAATTATATTTATTTACTATTTATAAGATAAAATATTTAAATGTAGGCATTGTTCTAAATTTTAAATCACAACATTTGTATTTATATATATATATATTTAAAATATTTTTAATTATTATATTTTAGGTTTCTTGCATTAACCAAGAAATTTGTGACTTTATTTATAAAATGACAATTAACTTATTCGAATTAACATAAGAATTTAAATTTTAAACAATTCGTGATCCCGCATATGAAGTCAATCTTTGAAGCCGTTAAGTTTAATTAATCTTTGAAATCGTTTAGGGTACACGTTGTTAAACAAACACGTTATTTGCATAAGTTCGAAGATTCAACGTTATACATATATGCGAAATTAAATTCTAACCGTACTATATTATATGTCATGCACTATGCTAGGAAGAAAATGTTCGAATTGAAATTATGGTCTGTGCTGTACCTGTACGTCGCAATGCGGGAACACAACGATGAAGACTTCGTAAATCACCGAGTACCCAATTTGCGTTTCCTGCCAAACTTTCTTCCGTATCCGTGTAACGTATTCGAGTGTCTGAAAATAATCAAATCATTGTAATTAATGTTATTCACTGTAAACAGTTATTTCATATTTTCTAAACATTCTTTTAAACATTTGAAATTTTTATTCTACCATTGACGTAATTAATTTATTTCATAACATATCGTAATACGTAGAAATTGAAACGAATTTCAAATTTTCAACACTTTTACCTACGATTGTACTTCTCAAACATCCTCAAATTAACATGATAAATCTAGATATTATCATGATAACACGAACCATTTTTATTTCAATTATACATTCAGTTGTAATTGGATATAATTTGAATAAGAAATGAGATATCAAAATATGTTACGAGAACGAGTTTTTAAAAGAGAACAAAATCTTCTTTGTATTAGTTCAAAAGGAGGAAAAGGGAGAGAAAAGAAGTGGGGGGGGGGTAAGGAAAAAGAAAGATATACGATTACGTTGAAAGTGGTACACTCAAACGTTCGCTTTCTTAGAAAAATATCTACCAAAGTAGCTCGTATGTAAATTAAACACGGTTACGAATCGTCAGAGTTTCTTTTCAGAAGTTGTTGACGAGGAAGTAGTAGAAGAAGAAAAAGAAGAAGAAGAAGTAAAAGAAGAAGAAAAGGGAAAAAAGATGAGACTAGTAGTAGCAAGGTATTAAAAAGAAGGAATTGGAAAAGGGGAAAAACGGTGGTGTATCTTCTTAAGGAGCTTCAACCGAAGGGTGGTATCTTTCAGCTTCGTAACGCTGTATTTGCGTGTTTCGGACAGCTGTAGACGACAAGAGGGAGGGGAAGGGGGAAGAGAGAGAGATAGAAATATACAAAGTGGAAAAAGAAATACGAGAGATATATGCCGAGAAGAAGAGTTTGATAACATTTTACGTGAAACGATCGAAGGATCTCGTCTTATTTCTCGAATTATTTTCGCATGGTTTAGCCAATATTCATGTATATATATTACGAGCATACTATAGTATAAACGTACGAGAGATAGAAGAAAAATTATTAACGGAAAATATTTTTTTTTTTTAGAACTTGTATGAGAATATCGTTTTTTTAAATTTAATTTTTAATAAATTTACGAACCTTATATATAATATATTGGTCGGTTGGTTATACACGTGGTATCATTTTTGCTCGGACGATCCATAATTTTGCAAAGAATTTTAGAAAAAATATGTAAATTATGTTAATATGATTTATCCTTCGACGTTTTTTGCGTGCGTATATTTTTTTTTTCTTTTTTGTTTTTGCTATTTTCTTTTTCGTTAGAAAACTTTGCGAGATAAGGGAAAGGGGTGAAAAAAACGTGTTTCTTTTCCATCAAAGTTTACCTCGAGCATATCTAACGATTTGGATTTTTTCGTTTTACGATAGTTTAAGGAATATTGTGATATTAACTCCGAAGCATATATCCTAGCATTTTCAATATTGACAGTATAGGACATCGATTTCCGATTAATCGATAAGAAATGTTGTCGAGTATTTAACGTAAGAATTTCTATGGGATGGAAGGAAGGGGAAGGGGGATTTATCGGTTGTATTAAAAATCTTATTTCTCCCGTCATTTATTTTCTATATTATTATGCATTATTTTAATTTTTACATCGTTTATAATATTGTAATTAAATCTTATTCGTATGAAAATGGTATATGTAGTTGTAAGTTTTTAAGTTTGTCTGAGAGAGTAAAAAAGAAAGGTGAATATTTTTTAATGGAAAAGAAAGAAACACGGAAAAGAAAGACTTAGGTCAAAGTGTTCATGAAAGGCAGATGACAGAGTATAACGTGCAAGGGCAGAAAAGCAATGGTACTTTGAGTAAAAGGTAAAGAGAAAAGGGCTTTGGATGACTGTAAAGTGGAAAGTGAGATCGTACCTACTGACTCGTCAAAATCACGTATTTAAGTATAAAGTAAAATGAAATCTCCGAAATTTCTTTCCCTTTTTTATTTCTACACAAAATTTTTAATTTCATTCTCATTATTGTTTTTTTTTCTCTTTTTGTTTATAATTCCGACATGAGTTTTAATCATCTGTAATACATGTGTACCTGATTTTGTATTTTTTCTTCTTTCCCTTTTTTTTCTTTTCATTAAAAAAAAAAAATAAAAAAGATATAATTGTTAGTTAGATTTGAATCGAATAATTACACGTGTTCCATTATAATCTCGAGAAAAGCGGCTTAAAAAATAATAGTACGACACAGTACAAGTTTTAACTCGTGAAAGAAACGAAAGGAGATAAAGAGAAAAAAAATAGGGTGGTGAGGGGGAGTGAGCGGGACGATCTATTAAACTGTGTGTTAGATAGAGAGAAAGAGAGAACAAAAAAAAAGAGAAAAAGAAGGGGACTGACAATGAGAGAGAAGAGTCAGTGACGCGTCGTTGTAGCAAAGGTACAAAAAAAACGGGTCGATGATTGTGAAATAGAAAAGTGAAAATATTTCAACTACGTAAATAAAAAAAACTTTCAAGACAAATTTAATTTTCAACTTTTTAATTATAATAAAAAAAAAAGAAATAATTGTTAGAGAAAAATTATCATTTGATTTTAATATTATAAATAAAAAAACTGTAACAATACTGAAAAGGATAAACAATTATAATTAGATGGTAACGAATAATTAATGCAATTTTAATTAACTAATGAATTGTGATTTTATCGAATTCGTAGAATTCTTTTTAACAATGATAAAATGTGGTGCAGTGTTTCGAAGGGAAGAATTAATAAAGAGAAAAGGTTATATATATATATATATTTTTTTTTTTTTNGTTTCGAAGGGAAGAATTAATAAAGAGAAAAGGTTATATATATATATATATTTTTTTTTTTTCTACGATATATATGTGTATATATATATATATATATATATATATATATATATATATATATATATATATATATCGTAGAAAATGGGGTTTGGTATAAAAATCCTGACACTTCTGGATATGAAATTATCGTGGAAGGAATTACGAGGCCGCCATTAAGTAGGTGTCGCAAAAGTGTGCTGGGCATAAAAATTGCTGACGAGCTCGTTCCTAAAGGTCTAGAAACGATTAAATTGAATTTCACGCTTCTCTCGTCAGGACAAAGTATCTTTGAAAATGAATTGTGATCTTTCGATTCGAATGACATCTTTCCTTGATCTGTCTTATCGATACTTTAAACCATTACCAATTCAAATTTTTCTAATGGTTTCTGGCAACGATTATTCGGTCACGTCGTATTAAAGAAGATTTATTCAAATTCTCGTTCAAATAGTAAAAAAAAAGATATTAATCCTTCCGTTTTTATTGATCCCATATAAAATATCGTATCGATAGAAACAAAAATATGGAAATGATAGGATTAATATAAACGTTAATAAATATTACTATTATTTTTTCTTTCAATACAAATTTGTATTATCAATGGAAAAGCAGCTACTGTAAACAGTAAACCGAATTATTTTCTCTTATTTTTTGTAAAGGGTATGTTTAGCAAAACGTTGCAATCTAAACTAACAAGTAGCTGTTCGAGTGTGTATGTATTTCGCATATTACACGATTTCTCGCATCTTGTTCGTTTTCTCTCTTACTATGATTATACAAGTTTCACCATAAACTCGCTATAATAGCATCGTAACATTTTCTCCTCGCACGATGAACTTCGACCGTTTGGAATAATATTGTGTTTCATTTCTCTCTCTCTCTTTTTCTCTCTTTTAAACTCGGTTTTATTCTTGCAACCTTTTCCTTTCTTTTTTCTTTTTGTTAACGATTAAATGAAACTGTATCCTGTATCTGCTTAAGCAATTAAACTTATCGAACTTATCGAACGTAATACGAGTACTTACTTTCATTAATTTTTTTTTCGTTTCGATCGGAGATATTATTTTCTTTTTCTTTGTTTGTATCAAAATTTGGTGGTATTACAACGACTAAAGTAACATTTTAAATGTCACCTCTTGAAAAGTTTTCTATTTCAATAATAAAAGCTCGTAGAAAAAACTTGACGATAGGATGGATGAGTTTCGATTTTCGTTACTCGTCGTAGTTTTATTCCACGGGTTGTTGGATTCGACGACAATTGTGCTAGGCAGTTAGCATACGACGTAGAAAAATGATACCATAAAATGGAAGAAAAGTCTTTTGCTCCTTTTACTTTTTACCAACGAGTTATACGTGTATATATATCTATATATATTTTCTCTCTCTTCCTTGACTTTTCTAAAGGTTTCGACCTAACTCTTTCTATCACGATCTCTTCCAATTCTTTCATTTTTCTTCCTATATTTTCGCATATTATCCGATTTTCTGCGTTTTCCTTTCAACTAGATTCTTACTACCAACTTTTAACATTAACCTTTACGATAATAATTTTTCTATAATTCTTACCAACTATACTTCAGCAAAAACTTTTTCGAATAATATCGATCTTGACTCTCTTAGATATTATTTTTCTTTCAAACTCGACAACAAATATGATTCATCGTAATTTGAAATGATACAAATAAAATAATTTTTAATAATAATTTTGGACAAGGATTTTATACAAAATTAATCCTTTTTTTTAATTAACAATACTAATACTTGTCTATATATATGTACTAAGATGCTTCGGGCACGCGTTGCTGTGGCTTTGTTATAAAACGTTCATTTAATATAACTCTAAACTATTTAGTGCAGTCAAATTAATATTTAATAATAATTTCTGAAATAATTAAAATGAGGCATAAAACAATATAAAATTTTTAATATATATAATATTTAATATATGAATAACAAAACATAAAAATAAAACCACAATTAGAATGGAATCTATAAAATAATAATACACGAAAAAATATAGAAAGCAATGTTAGTTATGTTATATGTAGATCTGAAAAAAACGTATGACGTGAATATATCAAAATAATTGAATTGTGATACAGCACCATCTGTTGAAAACTTACAGTATCTAGAGACTTAAATAACATTTAAATAATAAATCCTTAAATTAGCAATAAAAAATGAAAATAATCGCGATAAAAACTATCCTACATCCAAAGTTGAAAGAAATAACATAAAATAAAATAACCAAAATTTCATTAAGACCAGTTCAGTAGTTTCGAAATTCATTGGAAACCAACAATGTGATACACACACACTGAATTCTTATATATAAAAATAGTTTTATCACCGACTGCATAATATATGAATTTCGCGTATGAATAATTTGCATTTGACAAGATTTATGTTAATTGAAAAATAAATGTTATAACTCACCACCATGATAAGAACTTCGATGTGGCGTATACGTCCCATTTTGTTGTTGAACTTCTGCACAGTGACTGGGGGTGTAATACTGCATAGGATGATGTATGTAATTGTTAGGATTGTTAGATGCGTGTACGGGATGACAATGTATGCATCTTTGCGGTGTCTCTTGTGGACACTGAAACAGATTCAACAAAAATAAAAAATAAAAAATTACAAATATATTCTCGTTCCGAAATATTTATAATTAGATTCTGGATAGCGCGCATAGGAAATTAACTGAAACTGGGATGATGATAATTAGAACACAGAGTATATACGAATATTTAGATATCAAACGTACGCCTCGTTGTTTCTATAGCTTCGCAATCAGACCTCCTATAGAGAACGGATATCCCTATTGGCTATTGTATCCCTTTGTAAAGAGAGAGAGAGAGAGAGAGAGAGAAAGAGATAGTGATAGTGATAGAGATAGAGATAGAGACTCTATCGAACAATATTCACCGAGATAATTTCCTTTATATCGGCTATTTTCGAATCGACTTTGGAATACGCAAATATCCTTTATTCAAATAAAATTCTCATATATTATTATTTAATATAAGTTCTTTAAGTTGGGGAAGGAAGATCATTTAGAAGGTCAAAAATTTATTATTTTTTTGTTTTTAAAATTTTTATTTTCGAATAGAAAGGATTGTATGATTTATATTTTGCCACGCCATGCTGTGGCTTTGTTATAAAATGTTGATTTAATATAATTCTAAACTATTTAGTAAATTATAATAACATACAAAATAATACCACAATTAGAACAGAATAAATAAAATAATATTACACTAAAAAATAAAAAAAGTAAGGTTATGTTGTATGTAAATTGAAATAATTGAATTGTAATACAGTGCCATCAATTGGAAACTTACAGTACCTACAGATCTAGATAACCTTTAAATGAGCCGTTCAGTGCACACATCGATTAACTCCACTTTTTGAAAAATCTTAAATTTAAGTGTCAAAGCACTTGGTATAGTCATAACTTTTTATATTTATAATAACTTTCCTGAATAATAAAGATTAACACCATTAAACGGCAAAATTTTTTTGGCCATTGAATAATAAGTAATACAACAATATACATTATTTCATCGCATTTCTCAACTTTTTGTTTTATGGAGTTAATCGATGTGTGCACTGAACGGCTCAAATAATAAATCCTTAAAATAGCAATAAAACATAAAAACTATATTTCCGTTACTATAAGATAAGTTAATTACAATACGTTAACTTAACAACTATATGTTAAGTTAAAAAAATCACACAAAATAAAACAAATTTCATTAAAATCAGTTGAGTAGTTTCGAAGTTCATTAGAAAACTTACAATGTGACACTGAATTATATATTATATGCATATAAAGATTTTGGCGCGTATGTTTATTTTTTTTTTTTGTAATTTAAAATGACAGATTTACAGGTTATATGTCGTTAATTACAAAATTATTGGAATAATTTTTGGAAAATTATTTCGATCAATTTTGATTAAATTTGAAATATATCTTACTTCTACTATCAATTATTTGATCAACTATAAAATTCATGAAATTCGTATCTCAGGATTTCTATATTTTTCTTTCAAAATTTAGCAGAAATTTTTATCAAGAGGTCAGATAATTCTTTTTATTTAAACAAAAAAAAATCATCTAAAAAGAAAGCAAATTTTTCTGCCTTCTAAATGATCTTCCCCTCCCCCCTCCTCCTTCTCCCCTCGGGTTAACTTTATCGTCGATGTTAACTTTTCCTCGTAAAACTCAAATGAATAGTTGAAAATAAAAGGAAGGGGAAAGAAAAAAAGATGGTTGAAAGTAACTTTTTGATCGACGTTAAAGTGCTCGGAGAGAAGAAGAATCGTCGAACTATTACGTTGAAAATTGCATGCTGTGGTTAGGTGAACGTATAGTAAAAAAAAAAAAAAGAAAAAAGAAAAGGAAATATATATATATATATATATTCTTCTTTCTCATCTTCTTTCTTTTTCTCTTTCTTTCGAATCGGGAGAGCATTTCATCGCAATTTAGTAGAACGTTTTTCGGAAAAGTTAAAGAGAAAAGAAGAACGAATGTGATAGAGAGTAGAGATGGATAAGGGTGAACGAAGTAGAAAGAAATACATAGTAATCTTGTTACCTGCATGGAATGCTGGGAACGTAAGGATCTTATCGAACCAGCTGGGTGAAGTGAAGGTACACTGCCCCCGAAACTCATCGCGGAGTTTCTACATCCAACGGTGGTAGCACCGGCGGGGGTGGACCAACCCCCTCTAAAGCTTTCTGCTGTAGTCCACCCCATCCCCCTTTCGCACATTTTCACGATAATGCGGACGACATTTTATTGCCACTGCTGCTACTACGTCTTCTTACGCTCCGATACACATTCTCAATGAGGTCGAGGAGGAGAACGAGGAAATGGAGGTAAAGGAAGTCGTGTTATCGAAGAAGAAGAAGTAGAAGAAGTAGAAGTAGAAGTAGAAGAAGACGATTTRATGATGGTGGTGTGCTGGTAGTGGTAGTGATGGTGGTTGTGTTGGTGGCGGTGGTATTGGTGGTGGTGATGGTGATAGTGGTAGTGGCACCTTCTTCTTTCTATTCTATCGTTTTCTTCGATATCTTCAATGAGAAAAAAGAGCCGGCTATTTTTCCGCCCTCCCCTTTTCGACATATTTTCTTTTCTTCTGTTTTTTCTTTTTTTTTTTTTTTTTACTTCCAACGATTATCTTCTTCTATATCGTCTCTCCTATTTTTCTGTAACACAAAAATATTGGTCTTTATTTTATAGAATGAAGAACAAAAAAGTATCTGATAGGGAMTATGGTTTTTTTTTTTTAGGGGTTTTTTGCTTTCTGCAAATCTATACAAGATAGGATTATTTATTCTAATTTAATATTTTCAAATCTTATCTCTCTGATGTGTGTGAGGGATTTTTTTGTTTAAGTGTATTGAAAAAGCATGGAGATAAAATTAATTCGATACTTTAGCTCGCTATTGAACGTATTTTCTTTTTTTATTATTATTGTTATTATATAGTATACTCGTTTTTATTTGATTTCGTTCGGAGATAGTGAAATACGAGAAATAAAGATACAGGGATTATAAACGATTGTTGGTGTGAAGGTAATTAAAAATAAAAAAAAGAGGACAGAGGAGAAATAGAGGGTATGACAAAAAAAAATGCGAGAGAAAAATGTTACTCGTGTAATGCTATTTATGGATAAAATGCATAGACTTTAGCAATAGAATTTGCTAGAGTGTTTCCAATAGCAGATTCATGCGTTTAAGCGTTCCCGATTTATAACGAGAGAGAGAGAGAGAGAGAGAGAAAGAGAGAGAGAGAGAGAGAAATAAAGTTATATATGTACGCTTGCGTACATTACATATTGCATCGGTATTGACAAATTCGTAGTGGCAACTAGGGTGTAGGTATTTATATCCGTTTTAACAATTACATTTCATTTTCCAGAGGTTCCGAAAATGTATGCATATAACCACACACGACACACACACATATGCATAATATTTCGAATGTTTTAACCTAATAGTATTTGAAACGTGTGGAATATGCAACTAAATGCATAAGCGATTGTCAACATTTTTCTCTTAACATTCCTGCATTTAGAATTAATTTTATCCTTGTTTTTAAAAGTGTTTTTTAACTTCAATTGTAATATGAGATTTCATTCATGGATAAATATAAAGAAACGTGAGAGAAAGAGAAACAAACAAACAGATAAAGTAAAAACATACGACAATCATGGGAATGTATCATTTTGTTTTATTTATATTGAAAAGAGAAAATAATATCAGTTAGAGACTCATCAATAAACGAAAAGGAAATGAGAATGTATTTATTTCTGAGGAATCACAAGCAGTGTTATAGATAAATAAAAAAAAGAAGAAAAAGAAGAAAAAGAAGTAAAGCAAGAAAGAATGTATATATATAAATATCTGAAGATCCAACAAGATGAAAGGTCATAACAGAGAATCGTATCTAATTAAAATTATATCTTTCCCCCTTTTTATATGTCACTGTCGCGAGTTGTTCTCTCGTAGGAATAAAAATTGGCGGTGTAATTAACCGTCCTCCCACTCTTACATCCCTCATCCCCACATTCTTCCTTCTGGTTGTTACAAAATATGTGTCTCGTAAAAAAATTGAAAAAAAAAGAAAAAAAGAAGGAAGAAATAGGAAGAAAAAGAAGAAAGATGGGGGTTGGATAGGGTGGTAAAAAAAATGACGCTTATTAAAACCTTGCCTAGCAGAACTCCTTGCAATTACTAACATTCTCTCTCTCACTCTCTCACAAATACACATATACGTATATACTCGCATCTCATCTCATCTCTCCTTCTCTTTTTCGTTTCCCTTGGTTCATGTCGTTGTCAGAAACCCTACTAGGTAGTAGTAATAGTAGTAGTAGTAGTTCCTTCTCCAAGTATAGTATTCTGGCATCGGTATGCAGAAGTCGCGCCGCAGGCCTGTCGTAGGCGTTTTTGAAATATCTGTAATAATTCCCGTGCATGCAAGGTATGATAACGACGTCACGGTAGCGTCTACGTTAATTGGAATATCGCGTATGCTATGTTCAAGTCATTGTTCTCTATATGTTTGTATGTTTCTCTCTCATATATATATGTATGTATCACACGTACACTTGTGATCGTTAAAAGTATCGATTGTGCGAACAACTGTGAGTCGAACATATCCTTCTCTTACCCCCTGTTTCCACACTTCACCCCTTTCCCCTAATACTCCTTCTCATCGTCGTAGTCGTCGTCACCGTCTTCGTAGTCGTCACCAATGCCCGTTTCGTCGATTTAATTAAAATCGTTACGAATTTAATTAATTTGCTTTCGGAGAACGAACCTCACCGCCCCTATTCGTATGAACTTAATATGTGTAAGAACGCGTATATGTATATAACTTGTTGGTATTCGTTTGCTACATTCTCGTTTACAACCTTCATTCTCACTTATAATTTAAATTTTCTATCCTTTTTTTCTTATGAGTCTTCTTTTTCTTTTACTTTTTCTTCTACTTTTTTTTCTCGTTTGATCGTGACAAGATGGAAGAGAGATGTTATCGCTTTCTCTTTTTCTTTTTTTTTCTCTCTTTTGATGCATTCGTTATGCATCGATTGAATTTTTATTACGTTCCTAGGCACGTATATACGAATTGAACTTATCCTACACACCTAGTCGTTCACAGGTTTCAATGGTGTTCCCCTCTTCATGCAATATGTATTGGGGAAAAGTAAATAATAGAAAATAGAGGGTTAGAAAAGGTATATGACAAATGATCGTGGAAAAATGTTTACCCTATATTACATTTTTATGCGCATATTTTGATGAATTTTCAAACAAGTGATAACTTCTTAGGTATGTTATTTTGAAATATTGTTAAAAAAAAAAAAAGGTAAAAAAATATGCTTATCTCTAAAAGATGAATTATACACCACGTGCAACCTTGTTTGTAACCTTGTACGTACAAAATGTACACGAGCCAAAGTCAAATAGAAAAAAGTAAATACTTTCTCGATTGGTGGTTCTATTGGAATCTTACGTAAACAAAATAAAATAAAATAAAGCAGATTGAAATATACATATATGTTTGTTCAGATTTATTATTTTACCGCATCGAGGAAAAATACAATGTATTCTATATTTCAAAGTAAATTAATATGCTTTYTCTCGTTTTTCTTTTTTATCTCTCGTGTACGCGTTTTCGCATTGCATAAAATTTATTAGTAATTTATTTTTATTAAACAGCTCACGATTTCTCTATTCGTTTTTTTTATATCTCTTTCAATCTCTTTTTCTTGAATTTCAAAATAAACAATCGAGTTTGCTTGATTACTCTCTATAAAAAACTTAAACAAGTTTTTAAGTTTCTTATAATAATACTGTTTCTTTTTAACCCTTTCGTTACCTCATATGTGAGTCACTGATAATGAAAGTATTTATTGCAAATTTTTTTAATATATACTGATTATAATTATACTTATTAATAATGATATTCCTGTAAAAAGGTTTCTTCGTTTTTAAAAATATATTATAAAAATTATTTTATTGTTATGAATTTCTTTGTGTGTGTGTTTGTGTGTATTTGCATAATAATGGATACAGCCGAGATTCGTTAAGAGTTGATTGTCTCATAAACGCTAATTTGATGAAAGTATACACGCATACAATGTATGTTTTTAACGATTACATTTATTTCCGATAGAAGATAATAAAAAAAAAAGAAAGATGATGATGATGATGATGATGATGATGATGATGATGATGATGATGATGATGATGATGATGATGATGATGAAGTAAACGTATCTATGTACACTCGACACTAATGTTTTAGTACGCTCACCACCAACGGAATTAGCTTATCGTCGGGAGTCGTTAAACGAACGGTTAATGTACGTAAAATCCAATTAGCACCGGCCGTGGTTATATTCTCGTATCAAGTTACAATCGCTACTCAGGCATTATGTTAACGATGCAACAGGTTCGAGTAAAACTACGTCGAACAGTATTGGTCGATAATTTTCAAGAAGAAATAATAAAAATGTTATTACATAGTAACATTTCTTTACAGGTACATCAAAGATTGATTCAATTTTTGTTTCTTCTTATTTATACGACAAGTATTGAAAAGTTTTCAACACTTTTATAGTACACTCGTATTATTCGATCACTGGTTTGTCTAGTTAGAAACTAATTAACCAAAGTTGTTTGAAATGCAACAGATTTAAACGTCAGATAATAATTAGCTCGATGCTAATTTAATTAAATAAAATAAACAAAATTATTGTAAATAATAATTTTTACATATATTCTCATTTATACTATTATTTTTTTAAATTTTATAATATAATATTACATTTAGTATATTATTATAAATAATATTACTATTTAGAATTTATATATATATATATTATAGTAATATATAAATTAATATATTACTATATAAATTTTATTAAATAATATATAGAATATTATAAATATTAAAATTAACCCTTTGCACTCGAGGGCTCCGCTACGGAGACAATAAAAAAAAAAAAAAAATAAATAAAAACTGAAACAAATTTAATTCAGTCTACAACATATAAATTATGATTTTTCTTTTAACTACACATATGTCATTTATTTATAATNTACATTTAGTATATTATTATAAATAATATTACTATTTAGAATTTATATATATATATATTATAGTAATATATAAATTAATATATTACTATATAAATACTTAGAAAATGCATCGTACTCGAAATTGCTATAATAATTAACCCTTTGAACTCGAGGGCTCCGCTACAGAAAAAAAAAAAAATAAATAAAAACTGAAACAAATTTAATTCAGTCTACAACATATAAATTATGATTTTTCTTTTAACTACACATATGTCATTTATTTATAATACGTGAATATGATTTGTTTTCTATTAAAATTGCTTTGTATGTTGTTGGTAATATGTGAAATGAAAAATATAACTTCGAGTGCAAAGGGTTAATATATCCATATATTATAATTTATAATATTATATATGGATATTATAATAATATTTATAATATCCTATAAGTTAATGTAGCTCATTTTTCTTTTTTTTTTTCAATTAAATACAAAAATTAATTCATAAAATAAATTAATGTACATTTAATGTTATTCAAAGTCTCTAGAGTTAGAAAATGTTTCCTATATTAGAACGATCCTAGAGCCAAGGGAAGTGAAGGCTGTAGGAAGTTTC